GAATGATGGCCAACCTGTACCACTATTGTATTTATGTTTTGAACTACGAATATTTTCACATATTAAGATTTAAATACAGAAGACAAGAAAGAAACAATTACCTAAATAAAGTTGAATTGCATACGACACATGTATAAATACCTGATTTTTTATTTGTATATAATTCACTTGTAAATGCCTTGAATGATATCAAAATGTATTGAATTCAAAATATTAAAATTTACCTCTTCAGTACCTCCCCATTGTGTAACTTTATAAGCTAATAAACTTAATTTATCAATATTATTATACCATGAAGCTATATTTAATAATTAAAATAATTCGAAATATAAATTTTCAACTTACGAGTTTTAATAACATTAATAACTAAATATTTTGCTTGTTCATTTTTTCGTTCAGTAATTGGTACATGAAGATCACCAATATATATTAATTTATTTTGATTATTTAGAATTTTAGCTGAAAGTATATAAGAATTATGTGGACTGATTTTTGATAATGGATATTTAAGTTTAAATTGTAATGTAAATGATTGTGTTGTAATATTATTATTATTATTATTATTATTATTAAATTTTATTTTATTTCTAGCAATTGATCGTGGTCGATCATCACGTGAAAGACGAAGTTCAACAAGTAAATAAGAATTTTTATCTTCTATTGGTAAAGTACCATTACCATGTACTTCACCATGTATAATAGCATGAGTTAATCTTTTTGATTGATCAAATAAATTTTCTTGTTGTTTAGAAATAGTTAAATTGAACAAAAAGGAAGCAGTAAAAATATATAAAAATACTAGATAATATTTCATGATGTGGAAAAATGATTGAAATTCATTAGATATATCTACATATATATAAGAAAAATGTTCTTATCATATTTAGTAATATGATCATTTCATTTTATATATGCTATCAGCATGTATCGAAAATTGAAAAAAGTGAATTAAGGTCATAAGAGCTATATTTTAACATATGTTGTAAAATGAGATATAAATCAATAATTGATATCGAATATTAAAATGTTTTTCATAGTCTTTAACAAGCTCATAACATTGATTAAGTGACTATAATTGTTGAAATTAAGCCGGTACAGAAAAGATAATATGATGAGAAAGTTAAAATTGAGGGTGATAATTCGAAAGAATTTTCGGATCAATAAATCGATCTTCATAGTGTATAGTTATAGTTGAATTCATATATGAACGTACTTGTTTCAAACGAGTATTTAACGGAACAGATCCATCTTTTAATGATGAAGAAAGAAAAAGAAATATATCTATTTCACCATGAAGACATTGTCGAATATTAGTATAAGTTGGTATTCAAGCTTTTTGAATACATTCAGCAAGACCAGTTACATATATAGTTGCTCGTTTTTTGTATTATAGAAGATGAAGATGATAGAACAACTGATAGAAATGAATGACCAACTGAATAAAGATCAGCAAGCCATGCATCCATTATATTAACTTCTTTTGATTGCTAAAATCTTCCTTGAGCTATATCTCTTGTTAATTGAGCAATTCTTTTCGAAAGTAATCGTTGAGATGATAACCATGAAACAAGAAAACGAACAAATGAACCCAATTGATATTCATCATCCATATGTTTAATAAATGGATGAGTATTTCTTACTTGTTTAACAGTTGATCTACTAAATATAAGACGCCCACCAGTATCACAAAGAAGACGTTGTATTCAAAAACTTCGCCATATATCACATATCTGAAATGTTGTTGTAATAGGTAAATAAAAATCCCAAAATGCTTCATAGTATGTTATTGTATTTTGTGTATTATATGGAGAAAATGTAAATGGTTCAAGAGCAATAGATGATTGATCTCGATCAAATTGAATTCGTTCAATTGATAGTGGATGAGACAAATGATACTATGTAAAACAATGATTAGTACGAAAATTTCTTGATTATATATCTCTTTATTTGCCAGTATCAGCAGAAAATTGAAAGCATTGGGTTATATTTAGAATTTTAGGCTTTTTCCGAATATATATTCGCATATTGTGTTAGAATCATATGCTACGAAGTATGAGCAAATATTTGAAAGCTTCAGAAATATAAAATGGACAAAAAGACTATTCAAGGTAGAGAAGTAAAATTTATTTCAGTAAACATTTCTGAATAAAATGATTAATTTTCTTTGAAAAATAATATGACTTCTAGTAAAAGATACATTGACGTCTTCGAAATTACAAAAAATCAGCTCGATTATTTCTAAAGGATTCCTACGAAGCTTTTGGTTGTTAGATCACTTTGACGAGAACTGTTTGGCTCTTGCAAAAATATTGGTAATAGAAAGTATTCTATTATAAGTGCATGACTACTATGAAGGACGTGTTTATTGTCTAGATGCTGATCTAAAAAAATTCAGAATGTGATACAGTCAAGCAGACGACAGTAGACCTAAACTAAATTGGGTGTCTGTATAACGGAAATAAGAGAGTAGCACAAAAGTAATATCAAATGGCATACAATCAGATTTGTCATTTTCTAGATCTACTACTTCCATCCAACTTTATTGTCATGCTCTTCAGAGATTTATTCATAATTCCTGATCTATGAGTTTCACGAAAATATTCGGAAAGAGTATCAAATTCTGATTCTAACTCAATACTTTAAGTTTTCTGCTGATTCCAATGAAAAAATATTTTCTCTAGAAACTTTCACACCATTCGTTAATAGAAATTTGTTTAGTTGATCAAGTTATATAAACACACAAAAAAAAAAAAGAAAATATCTTACAATAGTATCAACATCAAGATCAAGATCAGCAAGATATTATTGAATATAATCATAAGTATTATTTTCAAGTTTTTTTGTCTAAATGAATACTATCCATCTTCAGTAATATTACTTATTTCATTAACAGGAAATCCTCTTGATCATATATTTGGATGACCAAATAATCCATAAATATTAATAAATGGTAATCGTTGTCGATAAAATCCTATGTATGAAACATGTTTTTGTTGAACAATTTTTGGTAAAAAATAAATATCATTTGTTTCAAGTAGATTATCATCATCGGATTCAAAAATAACCAAGATTTTTTTCTTGCATAAGAATTTATAGAAAGATGATATAAGCCAATCTTTTGATGTTTTTTTATCATCAATCACAATTAAATTCTATTGAGTAGTTAAATTAAGAAATTTATAAATGACTTGTGTGGAATAAAAAATTGTTGTAACTATAATCTATTTTTTACCTTGTATAGGACACATTGAAATGTATGTAATTGTTTAGTATTTCATGATGAGATACTTATTAAATCAGAATTTGTTTCTAACGATAATAAATTTTCAATATCATTGAAAGAAAATAATGAAATATATAATAGTAGTAAAATAATACATAACATAATAGTTAATCGAGTATTTCTTTTGCATGCCATGATATCCAATAAAAATCTAATAAAATAAATAAATGTAATATTATTTATTTAACATATGATATTAATAAATCGAAGACTATTCTAATAATTTCTTTAAATAAAAAGATAATAAATTGATTTTATTTTATTTTTGTAAGAAAATCTTTTATTGAATTTTCACCTCGTATAATTTGTATTAGAACCGATACATATTCAAAGTTCTATATTATGAAAAGTTCTGCTTAATACAAATTACTATACACATACTTTTTCTTTCAATATAAAGAGAAATGTATGTACTAACGATAGGCTATTTCGCACTTTCATACCATTGCTAATGTGTAGTGTTAATGATCATACGAAACAATAATTTAAAGAAAAAAATATATATGACGCAAAATAGTTCACTTCATCGTTTTTTTATTCTCATTCTTATATGCTTGAATTATTCTTTATATTTATTATTATTACATTTGATGGATGTACACTTCGACGAAATATTACTGAAGAAAAATTTGCTTTTTTTTCTTTTACTTTGATTCAAATGGAATTCAATATCATTATATACTATTATTGAATATCAAGAAAAAATGAATTTAAAATCAACAAAAATATCATCTATTCCAATATTAACTCGTATTCTTTATTTATTTCTATGTGAAAATCAAATTGAAGCAGATTCATATTCAAAAATATTTCCTAGTATAACAGCTGATGGTGTATTTTATTATTGACATGAAAACTGTAATTCATCTTTATATAAATACATAGTTAAGTGAAACAAAAAGAAATGAAAAATTGATTTCTTTTTAACCATATATCATCATTTTATTATCCTATATCTCGTATGGCTATTATAAATGAAAAAGAATTTAATATCAAAGAAAAGTTAACTTGGACAACAGCAAGAAATAAATTATATGAATTAGCATTAAATGAAGAACAAAAGCAAGATTAACGTTGGTCATATTATCATTATTATTATTATTATTATTTTGTTGATAGTGATATTCATATAACATGTTCACTTGCTGAACAATTATTGATTATGCTCAAAATGAAATATATTTATTTGCTTCACATTTTTAATCATTTATTAATTTATCAAAACTTTTAATTGAGAAAGAAAAATGTTTTTTTCTTTTTTACTTTTTAATGCATTTCTTTTTTTCTATATCATCTCTTATTGCAACTATATCAAGTATACAAGTGGCTCTATGGCATATTCTGATCTTCTTACATCACTTGTTTATCATATTGATTCTATGTTTACTGCAATACATCATGATACTTTAACATTTTTACTTTCTTATTGTCCTAAATATGATAGACGAAATTAATAAGATTTATCGTTATTTTCTTGTTATTAATTTTTTTTTTCATCTATTTATCTGAACATTATTCTCCGAATAAAAAAATATTCATGTTACATGAATTCTTTTGATGAATAGATATTTATTGCAAAGATTAAAAGATAAACAACACTCTTGTTTTTTTCATATATAAGATGGACGCGAACAAAAAAAAAAAAGTGAAATAAAATAAGTTTTTGTTTGTATTTCAATAAGCAGACGTACCACCCATTTATTTTCAATCTTGAACATTAACTTGTTGTATCATAATTTGAATCCGAACCATAGTTCTTGTTAAATGGTGGGTCATAAGTATCATCTTCACCTTCAACTAAAGTTTGACTATATTGTGGTTTAAAATGAAGAAAATTTGTTTTAACACCATCAGTAAATTGTACTCGTTTTTCATCAAAAGCAAGGCCTGGTGTAGGAGCTGTATTAGCAACATTGACAACTGTAAGGTTTAAAAAAAAAGAATAAGAATAACTTTGAACAAAAAAATAAAAAGAACTATTATTATACCTTGTGATGGTTGAACAAGTGAAGCTACATCAACATTAGGTGGTGGAGGTGCACCTGTACTAACTAAAGAAGCATATCCCCATTTGATAAGTTGAGCAACAGCAAAACGTTGACCATAGAAATTGATCAATGGAGGTAAAATATAAACTAAGCAAAAAAAGTTATATTTTTTTAGTTTTCCATTTCTTTCGTAAAAAAAACCAACTTACTGCCGCCTGTTGGTGAAAAAATAATTGTTTGATAAGTAACTTTATCATAAAAGATTGGAAGCCATGGAAGAATTGACATAAGTGGTGGAAAACGTGCTAATAAACAAAACAAAAAGACAAGCATTTGTATTAATGAAGAAAAAAAATCAATAGGATAAATGAAATTTACTAATAGGAAATTGACGATAATTTGGAAAATGACGAACTGGAAAACGTATACGTGAAAATGCACGTTGTTTATCATTATTTTCTTTCTTATAATCATCACCGGTATCTTCATCACCCATTTCGTTATTATAATTTGCATTATTTCGACGATCACCACGTCCTCGTCCACCAGATCTTGGTGTTTCATCAACTAACCAGCCATCACCAAAGGCAATCCAAACATTTAATGAGTTCAATGATGATCTATCGTTTTCACTCATGGTACCGTATCCTGGACGTCTTCGTTTATTCTAATTGTAATCAAAAATAAAATAATGAAAGCAGTTCTTATATATATAACTTACGCCGTATTTAGCTGTATTTGTACGAAAATATGATATGAAAATTTGAAACTAATAAAAAAAAGGAAAGTAAAAGACAAATGAACTCACATGATTTGTGCCGTTTTTTAGTTGTTTTACCTAAATTAATTTGAAGATAACAATAAAAAGAAATATAAAGAAATTTAACTAACTTGGTTTTTGTGTAGTTTCAACTATTGTAGCTACATTAATATTAAAGAAATAATAAGAAAATGAAATATAAAAAATTTAACTAACTTGATTCAGGTGTAACTGTAACTGTTGTATCTAAATTAATTTAAAAAAAATAATAAAATAAAAGTGATACAAAGAAATTGAATATACCAATAACTATAATGTGTAAAAAAAAAGTTTACCTTCTTGGACAGTTGTTTCTGTTTCGCATTCATCGCCTTCACATAATGAATCAACAATTGTTGTGTCGGCTGTCGTATCTTCGTCACCATTGACATATGCAATAGATAATACGAACAATATCAAAATTACGCTGCCACGTAAAAGAACCTTTTTCAAAGGATGAGAAATAAATATCCTTGTACTAAAGAGAATCTTACATACCTTTTGATGCATTTTGATTCGTTTGTAATTTTTTTGTATTTGAAACTAAAATAAAATACATTGAAAAGATTCTCTTTTTATAGGCTGTTAATTTCCTCTCTCTTGTTGCTTTTAGCATACCTAACTGCCTACATTAAAACGAAATAAACAAAAAAAGAAGAAATGTTTCATTTTGTCCAGAACGAACTGATAATACAGATATTTGATTAACGTCATGTATGAAGGCGTATAGTTTACGAAAAAAATAGTTTTCTAAGTATTTGAATAAGAAAGTCAGATGTTAATTTTTCGAATTTCAAATACCATGAAAACTATTTTTTCTATGTAGATTTTCGTACGTGATGATAATAAATTTCATGTTAATCAAATTCTTATTTCAAAAAAACAAAAAAAAACATGACTCAAGAATAAATCTAGGAATTAATATTGAACAGAATTGGATCGTTAATTGTTATAGTTACAATTGTGCTTTGATACTCTTATCTTTTTTTTTCTATACAAGATAGTTTAGAAACGAGTTATCAGTTTGCAATTCATAAGAAAAAAGAATTCAGCTGGATCCATCTTCGTTTGATACAATATCTTGGTAGAAATATTATCTGATCACATGAATTTCAAGCAAATTTTTATTTCTATTTCGAAATTAATTAATAAATGGAATATACTAATATTTATATTCAGTATATCAATGATAATACTAAATTTTTTAATTATAGAATTATTCTATGTGACTTAATTTTTAACCAATACGAAAAAGAAACAATTTTTCCAATAAATCGATGATGTAATATGAAGAAAATTTTGTCAATATAAAAAAAAAATGGTTTGTTAAATCGAGTTATTACATCGAAAATATAAGGCAAAATTAAGATATAGAATTTTTGATTTTCTTTCTGTTTAACTTAATGTTTCAGTCAAATATTATAAAAAAATAAAATAGATGTGCTTCTTGTTATTAAAAGAAATTTTCTTTGCATATCTATTTATCTATTAGATCAAGTTTATCATGTAAATAGATCAACTATGTCTTAACTTTAACACTGATGTAAGATTCAATGATACAGAATGTTTCATAAATTTTGAACAGTAACAAATTTTTCGAAATCGATTAATGTGATTTTTTTAATGAAGTGCTGTGAACATATTCTACCTAAAAAACAGTCTATTATTCATTTATTCAACGCTCATCACGAACCACTAGTCACATATTCAGCCAAGCTATATCTTCAATAACTTAATTGAAATGGATAAAATATATGACAACATCACGTTCAGAACAAATATTGTATTTTGAACTATTGATGAATTATTTAATAATCAAGTTTTACCTCAAGAAGGTGAAGCTAAATTTACTGATGTATAGTCTATTGAAAGTGTATGGACAATACGAAGAGAACAATTGTCAAGTTTTAAATAAATAAAAACTCGATTGAACAAAGAATAAAAAAAAAATAATTTGTATTGATCGATGGAATTTCTAAACGACTTGGTGAATTAATAAAAGGTGATACACAACATAAACGTGATAGTTAAATAAGCTTTTTTATGTAATCAGATTAATATAAGAGTATTTTTTATTCTTTTCAATAAATTAATTTTATGATGTCTCAAGATTTATGAAACACCGTACAGAGTTACAAGAAAGTGAAGATTGAATCTTATAAATTTGTATATTAGTACATGATTAATATACAATGTGATATATCAAGTCTAATTAAAAACAAATCTGTTTTAAATACATCTAGTTTTTTCAATAGTGTCATCAATAAGGGTTTGAGAAAAAAAACATCAAAACTATCTTTAGAACCATATGACGCATGCGAAAAAAAGGTTTCATGCATCATTAATACACTAATGCAAAAACCATGATTCAGCTGACAAATGTTTAAGATTAATGCTTAACATATTCTAAGTAATTATCATATGCTTTATTCTTCTAGACAAATAAAACCTGGTTTATAACGGATAGCTTATAAATAATGGTAGGATTTCTATTTCATGTTTTTCTTGACTAACTTTCATTGTTGAAATTTGTGTCTAATCTCAAATTGTTTCTTCTTTCAATTCTCTACAAATTGATATTAGAATGTTTAATCTAAGCTTTTCATTTACAAAAAGGTAATCAGATAATAATATGTGTGATTTTCTAACAAAAAGTTCTAGTTCAAACAAATTTCATATTAACATTCATTGCTCAAGAAAAAGAATGTTGTTTTCTATAATGTACAAAAAACATCACGGTTTTGAATCAGTAGTTTTTGAACATTCAGAAACTTTGGTGAAAGTCTATTAAAACTTAAACCTTTGAGTTTATATTTTATTTTTTACAGAAAACTAAGCCTAATGTTGATTGATTGCGACCCAGTTTATTAAAGTCTTTTTGCCAGATAAATCAAATGAAAATATTTGAAACAAAAAAAAGACAAATCATATCAATGATGAACATTTTTCTTTCAAATTCGAAAGATATTCATATTATTTGTATTGTGCCCTTGTTCATCTATATTCAACAATGACCATAATACACACACACATGCATGTACATGAAAAAAAAGAAACGTGACGATAAACGGAAAACAAAAAAACCAAGGGATGCAGCAGAGACCATTCAAGGAATAAGAAAGCTTTAATAACCATACACAGAAAACAACTATGTACAAAAAAAAAAAAAACAAGGAGAAGGAAAAAAAACAGAAGACACGTTTACTGATGTATCGAGTCACAAAAAAAAAAGAAAAACAATCAGAACACTAAATGTATTCGAAAACAGGTAAGGAAATAGTAAAGAACGAGACATAATTAAATGTGTGCATGTTTGAAACTAATCACCATATAGGTGGTGGAGGTTGCTGTTGATTATGATTATTATTTTGCTGAACATATTTGGCTAATTGTGCTGGTGGTCGAAAACGATTTGCATTATTCTAAAGCGAAAAATTTTAATGTTATCTTATTCTAGTTAAAAATGATTCATATGTTCTGTGTTATTTTTATTTTTCAATAAGACGATAAATGATTGAAAATTGAATAACAGAAATCTATTGCTACGTTTTATCAATCATTATTTATATGAATAGTCAAATGAACATAAAGTATGAATTGTATTCATGTTAATTCAACCTATATTTTATTAACTAGAAAGATATTAAGTGATTTCAATAGTAAAATATATTTATCGTTTTATTGGAATACAAAAAAAAAGTATTATTAACTAATATCGGACATTTAATTATCATACTTTTATTATCGTTAGAAAATAAAACTGATAATTTCAAATTATCTTACCTTTTTCTTTTTTGATTTAAGAATATTTTCATCTCTTTCAAATAATCCAATAGATCTACTATCAATTGTTCCTTGTTCATTACGTAATGCTGATGCAATACGTTTAGCTGCTGTTTTATTTAAATGATGTACATCACGTAAATGTCCAGTTAAATAACGTAATTTAACTGTTGATTGACATGGTGTATGTGGTATACGTTCTTGATGTGGTAAAACAGCATTATAATTACTTAATGGACATGATACATATGCTGTTTCATTTAAAACTTGTTCATCAGGTCGAAATAATATACGTTGACTAGAATTTTCATTTTTCATCATAGCTTTAACTAATTTCATAGCACTTGCACGATTTAATTGATGATATGCAAGAAAATGATCATATAATGCAAAATCTTGTTGTTCAACTGATGGTGAACATAAACGTATACCATGCATTGGTCCAAGACCAAATACATTATGTCGTGTTAATGGACATGGTGCACGAAAAAATGATGGAAGTATTGAAACAATTGATGATTCATTAGCTGATGAAAATAATGTTGGATGATCATCAAGATCACCGGATGATACAAGACGAACAATTTGCATTGATGCTGCATAATTTAAATAATGATATTGTTTAAGATGTTCAAATAATGATATTTGAGAATTTGAACGACGTATACATGGTATATGACGAACTTGATGATGTCGTTCAATACCATAAGTATTTGTTGCTAATGGACAATAGTCACATTTGTAAGTTTTTAATTCTCGAACCTACGATATTAAACAAAAAAAATAAAATTCGAGAATTTAAGATTTCAGAGAATGCAAAGAAAAATACCGTTAATGAATTATGAGGTTGATTAGTTTCACTAGAATTAAAATGAAAAAAAAAATGATTAAGAATTTTTTCGAATAAAGCAAAATATTTACATTTCTGGTAGTTCATCATCATTTTCTGTTACTTTTTCGACTAGAATAAATAAAAAAACAAAGGCATCATTTAATATTAAATTTTTTTTTATCACTTACTGTTTGATGACAAAAGATCTTGATTTGAATAGGAAATAGAAGAGGAATCTAAATAAAGAGTAAATATTGAAATAATCTTTCGACATTTTCATTAAAGTTCTAATAAAAACTAGCTTCCTATTGAGATTTAACTAAGCTATCGAGTTTTGATCAAAATCACTTCCAGATATGAAGCTTTCAAAAAATGCATGTTGTATACAATATCCATGGAAAAAGGTCTCTATCTTGAAAACACTTTGTTCAAACCTAGTGTTTTTTTTATGGAAGCTAATTCTAGTTGAGTTCTCTATACATATAAAATTTGTAGTTCAAAATTCGATAGCTTAGTTAGACAATAAAATCATTGAAATCGGAATGAAGCAACTCTCGAAGTTTCTCTCTTTTTTTTTCTCATTAATATAGCTACAATGTATGAACGAGGAATATAAAAACTATTTCATTTTCTTCCATCTAACAGTACTGATCAGAAATATAAGGCAAATATATTGTTGATTTTTTGTCTACAATATCAAGTATTTAATTCAAAGTCAAATAGTAGTTTGAATAATCAACAAAATTCTCTATCAAATGTATTTCATAAGTGGAAGATTTCTGAAAAGATGAGAGTGACAGATTAGATTGACGATTAGCAGAATAAAAAAGTTTTTTAACTTATTCTTCGATGGTTTCGTCATGGCTTGTGGCAAACAAAGGTTAATCTAAACAATGATGCAAGCATACAAAATGCTGTAATAGTGTCCGCTTTTGGGGGACACATGCATGTTGAAGAAGAGATGTATTGAATCAGGAAAAGAATTAACCAAGAAAAAAAAACACTTCGATTATATTCTCTATTGAGAAATCAATCATACTATGTGTGCATGAACTTTATATCTTGATTGCTATGAAACAAAAATACTTTATTAACTAATTTTCTACATTAAAAACTTTTCTTTATGCATGTAAATGCACATAGATGGTTTCTACAGATCTGTAACATACATGCGAAACAAATATGATTTATCATACAACAACTCGTATTCAGGGTTTCTTACTACTACTAAAATCTTTCAGGGGATATGTATCTGTCGTCGTCTGGTGGTTGGATCTATTCTGAAACAATAAAATTTCTATACTATGTTTTGTCCGCCCAACGCAAAGTATTGAAAACATCCTCTACAATGTAAATTTTATAAAAACATTACTAACTTAGTAGATCTGAAATGTTGTCTGAACGATTTCGATCATTTTTATTATTTTGGTCTTGTTTAAGATTCGATATTAAAAATAATCGTGAATCTATAATAAACAAAAAATGAATAAATTTATTTGTCTTTGCTTTTTTTTTTGCTATCTTCAATACGAACCACCAAATGTACCATATAAACTTTCATCATTAAATGGAGCATTACTAGTATTTGTAGCTAAAACAAAAAAGAAAATAACAAATAGCATTTTCTTTAAAAAAAGCACTAACCTGTTGCTGATTCGTGTTCACCAATCAATTGTCCAATTTTATCAATAACGGGTAAAAAGGCGGCTGTTTGTTGTAATCGTGCAAGACATGAACGCATATTAACAAAATCATCTGGTCCAATATTATTTGATACTGATGTTTTTGATTGTACATATGCATTTAATTGTCTAAAATGTTCCATTTCATTATCAAGAGCTTGATTTAATTTTAAACGTTGTTCAGTTAATCGTTTATCAAATGATGCTAATTGTGCTTGTTGTCTTCGTGCATCATCTAATAAACGTTGAAAATCACTTGGAAATTGTTGTTGATGTTCAGCTAAATGTCTTATACAAAGAAATAATTGACAATGTCGACAGATAGTAAATTGATATGCATCACATTGAGATTGTTGACATAATGAGGGAGATGATAATGTTGAAGCCATATTTTGATTTTCTTTTCTTCTTCGAAGAAGAAAAAAAAAGAAAAAAACTTTTTTTTTCTAACCACAAGAAAAAAACAGAAAGAATAGAAAAGACTAATGACTATAAACCAATCGATCAAAATCTACTAGAGAAAAAAAATAAACAAACAAAACAGCTGGAGAGAAGAATGAAATAAACATATGAGTGACATCTATTTTTTTTATTAATATTCAATGGTATCTGACATTGTTTTATTAATTAAGAATTAAACTTTAATTTAGAAAAATAGATTTTTTTTTCTCAAGTATTCTTAAATAAATTTTATATTTAATAGAGGTCATCAAATATCGATCATTACTTGATTGGTTTATGTTGATAGCGAACAATTAAACATACGAAAAAAATTTTGTTCATAATATCACTTTCGTAATGCCGAAAAAAACTCGTTCAAAAAATAAAAGTCATAGTGGTGTAGATAAAAAAGGTAAAATATTAAAAACCAAACGAAAAACTAAAGATCTCGATGAAGTTCAAGCAAATATGGCTGCTGAAACAGCTCGTCAATTATTAAATCAACCAATTGATTATGATATACCTGGTGCAGCTCAACATTATTGTCTTTATTGCGCGTAAGTCAAAAATAATTCATTTTACAATTGACACATATGTTTATTTTATTTTTTTCTCTTAAATAGACGATATTTTGTTGATGATCACAATTTACAACATCATTTGAAAAGTAAAGTTCATAAACGTCGAGTAAAAGATTTAAAAACTGAAGCATATACATTGGAAGAAGCTGAACAAGCAGCTGGAAAAGGACAATATCGACCACCACGATCTGTCCATGTACCAGATGATCAAAAGAAGCTTTATAAAATGGATACTGATTCTGTCGAAGATGTTATTTCATCTGATAATAAATAATATCGTTGTTTTGATATGTTAAATTTTCTGTTATCTACAGGATGTTCTAGAAGTCTGTAGGAAAATTTTACACAATCATCTTCTATACAATTCAAACGATTTCATTGTTTTTTTTAAACAAAAATGACAGCATATTCTTTTAAGTTTTATTTCATATAATTTAGTTTACAACAAATGTTGAAAATGATTATCATGAATCATAGGCGGTCGAGCCACAAGATCTCGATAGGTCAAAGCCTACCATAAATTCACGCTTCGGAGGCTAGGGTAGGGTCAAATATTTTTCTTCTTCCGTGAGATTGATAGACTTGAGCAGTATATCACATTTTTTGTACAGACATCAATATTTTTCACTGCCTCCAGCAGCTAATAATAGAATTTTCTTAATCAAGTAGACTCAATAAACGCTTGACGGATTCCTTCATTGCAATTGAAACAGAATTATACGAAAAATCTGAACCAGATTAAGTAGAATCTGTCAAAACTTGTCTTCGCCTTCGATGACTAAGATTACATGCCTATTAAATATTTCAATAGTGAATAAGCTCACAATGCAATATCTTTAGTTTTTTGTGAAACATTTCTACCTCGCCATTTCACTTTTTTTCAGTAAAGGAGATCAAAATCTCTTCTTTGGAAAATCGCATTTCGATGAACATAAACGTTTGCTTGTTTTTCTGATCGGCACCATTGTTATAAGTTGCAAAATGTGAGTTCGATAAAAGAGATACTAACTGTGTTTCATATAAATAGCATTCAAAAACTCGTTTTATTTCATTTTTTACCTGTCAGATGAGGATCTCATAAAAAATGTGGAGTTTATTCTAGAACCAAAACGTTTCGCCGCCTATGTCATCAATTGAAATATATAAAATCATTCTTTTCGAAATCTTTGAAATACTACAGTTTATTTTTGAATTAATTTATTTTCGTTATCGGTTCTTATTTTGAATTCAATCACAGTTTTATATAAGTCTTAAACACATAGGTTTTCATTTTATATATATCTTCATACACTCGTTGGACAAATTGCATCTTATACAGTTTCAATGAACCATATTCAGTCATAATTCCATGTGCTGTTGTTGGCGGAAAGGAATAGGCTGTTGCAACAGTCCGAATACTTGATTGTGATTTAATTTTCACAAACATCATAAACTTTGTCAATCTTTTCTTCCGTACTTTTTGACGATCTTCCAGAACCTTTTTTTTCTGTTCTACTTTACCAGTTTTACAAAAGCATTGAAATGTAGCTATTATATAACCTATCTTTGATGTATTTTAGTCATTAAAAACTATTTTACAGAAGAAAGTTCAAAGAATATAGTATAATATGTATATAAATCGCTTGAACCGTTTAAGAGTTCTTCAAGAACTTTTCGAACACCACCTATATCGATCCACGTCAGAATAATTTGGATACTGCCTGTAGATTTGTTTTCGTCCAGAGATTTTCCTGGACTGAGTCGATAATTGATTTGACCAAGTTATCTGAAGATTGTGTGAACAAAGTTGATTTTCACGATCAGAGAACGTCTGCATGAATATAAGTGTATCAGTTAATGAAAAAGAGTGTGGATCATATGAATCATTGCATCTACAGATACTATTTATCCATTCAATGTTAATGAATTCACATCAACTTTAGATTGCCGAAACTAAACAAATATAGCGATCATTAACGGAAAGATGTGTCATGTAGGCTTTAAATCTAATTAGAATCAACCAGCAAAGAAAAAAATCTCTGCCTCAATTAATAAAGTTGAAATACTTGAGATAAATGTTAGTATTTTCTTTTGTTACTGATTGTGTGTTCTCTTATTTGCTTTCTAGTTTCAACAAAATGTCTAGTATAATAATTAAATATTATTAAAGAATATGTTTATCTCAAGTCGATTTAAATTATATTTACAGTTAATAAAATTTTTAAATTATTGAATTAAACTTTTTTATATTTATTTATTTTTTCATTAAAAAGTGACGAAAACCTTAATCGTCCAAACCTAGTAACTTATTTTCAATAAGAAATACTTTCTTTTTGGCGTAGGTGTGCATATAAGTCTTTTCTTGACTGGCACATTCACACCCTCATCTAAATGACATGAAAATGAAACAGCAACGATGAAAAAAGTTCGGTAATTAAATGTCGGAAATCAAAACATTGAAAATGTAATTGTTGAATGAAGAATGCCGATAATCCAAATCTTTTTCGATCATAGATTTCCCCCTTACCTTCAGTGATGTGCTGTGTTCATGCTTGTTATATTCTATTCGATTGATCGAAACTCAGGAAAATTTTGCACCTAGGATTTACAAGGATTTCTAGTTTTTGACATTCAGCAACATAACCAAAGAAAATAGTCGTTTTGACGTATAGTGAAGGTTAGATCTAACTCAAAAGATTCACATCAGCATCCAAGAGCACAAGAATCGTGTCTGTTGAGATAATTTTTGCCTCTTCGTGCAAGATTCTGTCTACATGGTTCTTACCAGAAACTCAAGATCAGTTCTTTTCAGGCAACAATCTTACACTGAATCATTTGTAAAAAGAATCATGACTGTCGGTCAAGAAAAACAAGAATCAAGAAAAAAACAACGGTAAAAGTCTCGATTAATCTATTCTGTCCAACTGTTCAGAACAAATGAAAGATGCAGTCAATTTCATATATTGTGAATTAAGCTGTTTCTAATTCTCCATAAGTTGTACAATGCACATTTTAATGAGAAACTGATGGGAATGAAAAAGATGACGAGCTCGAGCATGTCAAAATCATTATTTATTGTCAAGCCTTACATTACAAGTTATCGATTTGATCACAGTCACAGACATGTACAGGTGATGAATTCTGCTATAAGTCTTGCAGCTCACTAAGGTCAATACCAGTTAACAAAGGCTAAGATGTCATTGACTTGTTTTAAATTATTATTAACTGAGATCGAGACATGGTTATGTCATTTACATGGTTAGCTATAAATTAGCTTTCATTTTTTAAATACTATGCGTGGTTGAGGGTATGGATGTGGGTGAGTGCTTCTTTATTCTTCAATTACACCAACACCCACATCTGCACACCTCACACACCACTCGATTCAACACGAACCAAACAACTCGATCGAACCATACAAAGAAATTGATCGGCTACTGCTGCTGAATTACTATTACTCACACTGACACACTTCAATACTACCGAACACACCATGCAACGTTATCGTCGTTCTCTTGGTTATCATCTACGCAAGTCTTGTGTTAAACTCAAGAGTAACAATATGAATGAACAAAACCGATATCGATTTGCTGCATTGCATCATCATGCTAACATCAAGAAATATATTTTTGAGGATGACTGTTACATTGATTTAAAAAGCACACAACAGGTTGTTTGGTGTAGACGAGGGGAGCCGACGCCCAAGAAGGAAATTTCTTCTTTATAGGCTCATGTTAATTTAATTGATTTCATTTGATAGAATGGTTATGTGTTCTGTCGATTTAATAATTGTTTAAAAAGTGATACATATTATCATAGAGTAAATGAAGCTTTATCTGCAAATATACAACAATTGAATGGATTCTTATTTGTGTCTCATGGAGTCCAATGACATTGAAGTGTTCAATTCAAGCAATCGTGTGAACGGTATGATATCGAATTATGCGAATGGCCAGGTTACAGTCCTGACTTTAACGCTATTGAACTGCTCTGGAATATTATCAAACAGAAAATTAAAAATAAGAATCCAGAATCACAACATGAACCAGAGAATGCAGTCGATGAAGCTTTCAACCCGTTATTATTAAATATCGTTCTAGCATGTATTAAAAAGAAAATCAAACAGTATATCAACACTTTGTATCCTCATATCAAACTTTTATTGGTATTATAAGCGTCTACACTTGTACTATTTATATATGTACACAAGAAAACTTCTTTTGACCGTAAACTCTATATTTTAAATCAAAAATGAATATTGATAACGATGAAGAATATATTAAATCAATTTAGTAGTAATGATGACAATTAAGATTCATCTCAAACATTATGAAAACAATTGAAACATTCACCAAGAGAAGAACTCCTTTCTGCTATTAAAACTGAAATGTCAACTACACAAAATTAGACTCAACAATAGCAGTCCACTGTTACAAACATTTTAAGCAGCCATTAACAGTCTTCCAAAAAATGATCTCAAATTCTAAACATTTCTTTAAAGGGATGATGAATATCTAGAACTCTATGAGACGACAATAAACCCATTCCATGTTCATAGCTCGCAACCATGTCTTCCTTTTCCAGAGACTTATAATGGGAACGTTTCTCACTAAATCATCACATGTTCTGAAAAAAATATCTTTTCATTTTCTTTCTCATTACATCTAGAAGTCATGCACAAGGCATGAAATCATCAAAATATTTTGACGTGAAGTTTTGTATAGGTGTGTATGTGTATCTATATTTAAAATTATCGATATGTTTTCACCAAACGATAGTTGACTCATATATCATTCGTTCGAGAGGCAATGTTTGCTGATTCCAAAGTTCAGTTTCGAGTGATTCATAGAAAACTATTGTGAGCAACAACGGCTTGTTATATGTTGACAAACATACGATAATTATTTTCATTTCTACTAAACAGTAGCTAAATAATTGACCGGCATTCTTGTGTTGACTTATATATATATATTGTCCACCAAAGAGCACCGTGTTTTTGCGGTACATTATGAGTATAGCTCAAGCCAGAAGAAACGCCTGATTTTTTCTTTTCAGAAAAAAATTCGAATAATTAGCTAATTGTAAATCAGTGAAGTACATTCGTTTACTATGACTTTTGTTGCTCCTGTTATGGAAAAGTGATAAACGAATTTCAAATGAATAATAGAAAGAAAGTAACGAAAGCTTTCTATCGTTCTGGGCAATACTTGCTGAACATAGAATTCGGTTAGCCTTGAACCTCAAGTAATGACATCAAATATCTATCACTCAGCTGACCGAATGCTATGGTTTTCA